CTACCCTTTCGGTTAGACTTGCTCGCAACGTCGCCGGTTTGACCTTCGACAGAATCACGGAGAAGATTTTCTTCCGCATCTTGTCGTTTTTGAGGTCTTCCGACATCCCATTCCCTTCATGAGGCTGGAAGCCTCTATCAGGAAATTGACCACGCGCATGGTAACATCCTTTTCAGATATGTTCCATCGTAATTTCTCGAGCTCTTTTTCAGCGTTCGGAATCGCGTTGTTCAAGGGCTTTGACATGATCTCCTTCATCCATTTCAAGATGAATTCGTCATTCGCTTCGTCCATTGTAACAAACCAGCTAAAACGAGCCATGCCTTCGATAAGTTCGGCAGGCTCAGCCAAAGACTGGATGGACGGCAACGCGGTAGCGTAATCGCGCTTCATGCGCACGCATTCCATTTCAGGTCGCGTTGGAATTTCTTCCATTTCTTGGTCCATTTGACCAGAACCTCTGGGGAGAAACTCGTGAGTTTTGGCGGGGTCACGGTCGTGATGCTCACCATCCCGCTAGGGGCGGTGTCACTATCACTCGTGTCGCTCATTCTCCCTGGACTTTTCAGATCAGTCGCGCCACTCGAGTCTTCTTTAACGAGTCTAGCACTAAAGAATTCTTTATAGTGTCTCGTGGAGACGACTCACAAATAACACCAACGAGGGGAGGCGCAAGCTCCCGGAAGTCAGCGCAAGCTTTGTTAGCGACCCGTTCCTTTTCAGGCGCGGGGCTTAACAGCAAAATGTGAGAGTGAGAAATCGAAAACTACCCATCAACGTAAAGTGCTCCTTAATGCCAAGTGTCGCCTTCACAAATACCGTTCTTTCAGGGTACCGCTACGACTATTTTGACGCGCCGGCTGTGGCCCAGGGCGGTGGTAATTCTTCAGATGTTTTTGTCCTTCCGACGCTTCATACTTCGTGCTTCGGCCGAACTTCTTCGAAGTTCGGTCCTCGTATTCGTACGCTGCTCATTTATTCGGATCTGCAGGGAGGGGTTGGAGTTCCTCCATCCCAGGAAAAACTCCGAGAATATCGGGGATCGATACCTTGACCTTCGGGATAACAACTTGATGCACCACTGAGCTAATCCCCCCCCGAGCTAACCCCCCCCTGACGCCTCGTTGGAAAACTTGGTGGCGCACTTCGTCAAAGCATCCGTTCGCATCTCGGGGACGAACGTGGCGCGGCCGTGTTCGACGAGGTCACGTCGTCAACGAAGCTCAGCACCCTATCGCGATCGAGTACACGATAGCTCCAAAACGTGGCCAAGAACAGTGTCTTTGATTCCTCAAGCAACAATGCGA